GGGAAGAAGTGATCATGAGATGGTAGATTTTAGGATCCTGACCAATGGAAGAAAGGAGAGCAGCAAAATACATACCCTGGACTTAAGAAAAGCAGACTTTGGGTATGTCTAGACTGCAGAGTTTTTTCGGGATACCAGCGGTATCCTGGAAAAACTCTGTCGTGTCCAGGGAATGCGTTTTCTCTTCCGCTTTTTTTGCAGAAGAGCAGATGCACGCTTTCGGAAACCCTGTCTTCCTCGTTCCACAAGGAAGAAGGAATCTTCTGAAAGAGGGGGATTTTCTGAAATTTGGCCCAATGTAGATGGGCCAAATTTCGGAAAAGCCTCTTCTGAAAAAAAAAGCGGAAAAAAGCGTTTTTCTGCAAAAATGTTGTTGTCCAGACATAGCCTTTGACTCCATCAGAGAACTGATGGGCAGGATCTCCTGGGATGCTAACATGAAGGGGAAAGGAGGCCAGGAATGCTGGCTGTATTTTAAAGAAACCTTATTGAAGGCACAGGAAGAAACCATCCCAATGCGCAATAAGAAAAGCAAATATGGTAGGCGACCAGATTGGCTTACCAGAGAAATCCCGGGTGAGATAAAACACAAAAAGGAAGCTTATAAGAAGTGGAAACTTGGACAGATGACTAGGGAGGAGTAAAATTATACTGCTCGAGAATGCAGGGGAATAATCACAAAGGCGAAAGCACAATTGGAATTGCAGCTAGCTAGGAATGTGAAGGGTAACAAGAAAGGTTTCTACAGGCATGTTAGCAATAAGAGGGTGATCAGAGAGGATGTGGGGCCCTTACTGGATGAGGGAGGTAACCTAGTGACAAATGATATGGGAAAGGCTGAATTACTCAATGTTTTTTGACTCCATCTTCACAGACAGTCAGCTCCCAGACTACTGCACTAGGCAACACAGTATGGGAAAGAGGTGGGCAGCCTTTGGTGGAGAAAAGCTAGACATACACAAATTAGAAAAACAAATCCATGCGTACTGAGGGAGTTGACAAATGTCATTGCAGAGCCTTTGGTCATTATCTTTGAAAACTTGTGGTGATCAGGAGAGATCCCGGATGACTGGAAAAAGGCAAATGTAGTGCCCATCTTTTAAAAAAGGAAGGACAATCCAGGGAACTACAGACCAGTCAGTCTTACCTCAGTTCCCAGAAAAATCATGGAGGGGATCCTCAAGGAATCCATTTTGAAGCACTTAGAAGAGGGGAATGTGCTCAGAAATAGACAACATGGATTCACCGAGGGCAAGTCTTGCCTGACCAATCTGATTAGCTTCTATGATGAGGTAACTGGCTCTGTGGACATGAGGAAGTCAGTGGATGTTATATACCTTGACTTTAGCAAAGCTTTTGATATGGTCTCCCACAAAATTCTTGCCAGCAAGTTAAGGAAATATGGATTGGATAAATGGACTGTAAAGTGGATAGAAAGCTGGCTAGATTGTCGGGCTCAACGGGTAGTAATCAATGGCTCAATGCACTCTCAGCAAGTTTGCGGGTCATACTAAGCTAGGGGGAGAGATAGTTACATTGGAGAGTAGGGATAGGGTTCAGAGTGACCTAGATGGATTGGAGGATTGGTCCAAAAGAAATCGGATGAGATTCAACAAGGAGAAGTGCAAAGTCAAAGTTATGGTTTGACAAAAGGGCAGCATAATTGGCAACTCATAGGAGCAAGGTTGAAGAGGAGTAAACTTTTCGGCCGAAATAGTCCAATTTCTTTGTATCCCTATCCGGTAGGGAATTTTTGAAGTGGGGCATCTTACCCTTATGGCGAACCACATCCACTATCAGGGAGTTAGGCTGTGGGTGGTTAAAAAGAAAATCTAAACCTTTGGATGGAACAAAATACTTTTTATCCGCTTTCTTATTGGTGGGCGGTCTTGATGTTGGCATCTGCCAGATGTCCTGTGCTACCTCCATGATAGCATCACCTATCGGGAGGGCAATCTTTTGTTGTTGTTTAGGGTGTAAATTCTTGAATAACTTATGCTGTTTAACATGGGACTTGGTAAGTTGTACCCCCTGGGATTGCGCGACACGTTTAAAGAGGTCTTGGAATTCTTTGAGGTTGTCCGGAGGTGACATCTTGCCCAGAGTCACCGGTTCATCCCTCGAAGACACAGACAAGCGGGCATTAGGAGACATGTCTGGGTCAGTTTCTGAGAGTTGTCCTTCCTCTAAGTCTGACATTTGTGATCGAGGTACCGGAGAACGTGAAGGTATCGTACGTCGTAGCGGGGACTGTTTGAGAATCTCTGAATGTACGGAGTGTGGGCTAATTGACCGACAGGAACATGGAGACCTGCGTTGATTCAATATAGGAGGGTCTATGATGGTGCATATAATGTTGGTCAGACCCTGAAGGTGACAAACGTCTAGAAGACCTAGCTCTGCTATACTAGACATAATAGGTGCTCCGTGGTGAATGAATCGGTGAGCGTGAGCGTCTTGTAGGAGAACGAGATCTAGAGCATCCGTGGTGTGAGCAGCTACGCTCTCTATAATAATGGTGACGAGATGAAAGACTTCGCTGATGATATTCCCTCTGATCCCTTGTATGGTGTGTAGAAGCACAAGGGTGAGGAGATGGTTCCGGAGAAAAGACCGGGGAGGTACGCAGGGAGATTTCCTGGGTATTCGATTTTGATGCTGCTTTAGTAGAAGTTGCTGGAAGCTGCTAAGTGCCTGGAGACCGAAGGGTTAAAGGCTCAGAAGGAAGCATCTGGGCAGCAGCATGCTGCTCCGGTGCTGGTGCTGAGGACAGCTCCATGTGAGGAGCAGTGAAATTTAATGTGGATAAGTGTAAAGTAATGCACATGGGGAAAAATAACTCCAACTATACGTACAGTATGATGGGGGCTAATTTGGCTACGGCAAATCAGGAAAGAGATCTTGGAGTTATTGTGGACAGTTCTCTGAAAACTTCCACGCAGTGTGCAGTGGCGGTCAAAAAGACAAATAGGATGCTAGAAATTATTAAGAAAGGGATAGAAATAAGACCCAGAATATCTTACTGCCCCTATATAAAACTATGGTATGCCCACATCTTGAATACTGTGGACAGATGTGGTCTCCACTCCTCAAAAAAGATATTTTGGCCTTGGAAAGGATTCAGAAAAGGGCAACTAAAATGATTAGGGGTTTGGAACGGGTCCCATATGAGGAGAGGTTAAAGCGACTGGGACTTTTCAGTTTAGAAAAGAGGAGACTGAGGGGGGATATGATAGAGGTCTATAAAATCATGAGTGGTGTGGAGAGGGCTGATAAAGAAAAGTTATTTATTAGTTCCCATAATAGAAGAACTAGAGGACACCAAATGAAATTAATGGGTAGCAGGTTTAAAACTAATAAAAGGAAGTTCTTCTTCACACAGCGTGTTGTCAACCTGTGGAACTCCTTGCCAGAGGAGGCTGTGAAGGCTAGGACTATAATAGAGTTTAAAGAGAAGCTGGATAAATTCATGGAGGTTAGGTCCATAAAAGGCTATTAGCCAGGGGATAAAATGGTGTCCTTGGCCTCTGTTTGTCAGAGGCTGGAGAGGGATGGCAGGAAACAAATCGCTTGATCATTGTCTTCGGTCCACCCTCTCTGGGGCACCTGGTGCTGGCCACTGTCGGCAGACAGGATACTGGGCTAGATGGACCTTTGGTCTGACCCAGTACGGCCGTTCTTATGTTCCATTCTTCAGCTGCATGAATTTCTCATTATGCCCTGATGTGTTCTTCCTCCATTGCTCTTCCTCCATGTGTCTTGAAACGTTTTTCCTATTAGTCTTGCTTCCCATGGGAAGTTTTCTGAGTTTACTAACATCTGCATTCCTGAAATACATTGTCTTAATTTTTCTGTTCTCCCATATAAATAGCACAATGGGAACAAATGTATGTTATAGTTTGTGCACGTAGAGGACTCAATCCTGCTGACCTTACCCTCACATTTTTCTCATTTAAATCATTAGGACTAGCTGGGTAAAACCAACAGAAATTGGTCACAATATCGAACCATTTGAAACATAATAAAGCAAGAAAAGAGAGGGCAGCAAATCACAATCAACTTGGTAAACAGTCTATTGCCAGTCTCTTGCTAGTACCTTAAATTCGACAATGGTAGATATTTGTGAAATTAAGGATCAGTTTTTGGTAACTTGAGTCCCCTTCATCTTTTCATTATGTTCCTTGATGGAGATGACTGTTTCTTATTTATGCTGTTAGAACAATTACTAAAAGGTTTTACCATCAGTGCATTTTCACTGTTATCACACTATTGTCCATATCCATTTTATTTACTTCATCTATGGAAGTTTTAAAAAGCAGATAGATTCATTGCTGCACCACTGCCTCTTTCAGTCCTGTATTTTTCTAATAATCCAGACTCTGGTTTCCACAGATATAGACCCTGATCTTATCAATTGTTCTATGAAAGCACGGCACTGTAACCATGTACAGCTCTACTGAAATCAGTGGGGGTATTACTTAGCCACAAGGATCTGTCCACGTGGAGTAAATTTCAGGATCAGAACCCTGTTTATTACAGTCAGAGCTATGTGCTCTTGTGCTTGCGTCCCACAACTTTACCCAGGTGGTGGTGATTGCTATCTAGACTTGCAGCAGGGAACTGAAACAAGGCTCTCCAGAGATTATAGCTTGATTCTGTACATCCTGAGCTAAAAAGCCAGGATCTGTAGTTGAAACAAAAGACAGGACTATGCAGCACAAAATGTTAGTCTTTAAAGTGCTGCATAGTCCTGTCTTTTGTTTCAGCTAGACCAGACTAACACGGCTGCATCTCTATCACAGGATCTGTAGTTGGAGACTATAACAGGGTCAGATCTCCCTGGATTGAGCAAAAAGGAGAACTCCAAACACATATCGGTCAGTGGATTATATACATATTCTCAATTACACCAGTTTAGCTTTCCTGAAAAATAAATTATTTATAGTACAAGTCATTATGTTTTTTAAGTAGTTGTCAATTATGGAGACATACAAAGTGCAAGTATTTAAAATGTTTATAAAGTATACATAACTTGATATTTAATAGCTTCCCAAAAGTAGGAGTAAAATAAAAAGATATAATCGACTGTGGTGCACGTAGCCAACAACAATCTGAAGTTATTTTTAAAAGTGCTTAAAATAGCCAACCAGGCTGGTTGTCCATCCATCCAATGAATATGCGGTCAATTTTTCATCTTGCGTTGTACAAATGTTTTAAAACCATCTATAAAGGCACGGAAATTTTTTTCTTCGTATTCTTCACATTGTTTGCATGGTCTTTTATTCCTGCTCTGCAAAAAAAGAAATGGAAGAATAGAAGAATGACAGTTATTTGAATAAGAATTGGTTTGATATTACAACTGGGGATAGTTGAATTGCTTTTGAGGCAAATTTTGCTCACTTTCCTCTTACAAGGAACTCCACTGCAAACAATTGCCATAGGAGCCCTGCTGGAGGCTGCCAAGGAACTTAAGTGGCCCCATTTTTAAACATGAGCTTGCAGAGCTGCCAGTGACTTCAAGGAGGAGATACGGTTGTTCAGTCCAAGGTTTCCTCTAAGCTGCATGGTAGCAGGGCCCACAGCTGCTTAATGAACCCTGCCCAGCCAAGGGCTCAGGTCCCCACACACGGAGCTGCCGGGCTGGGGAAGGGACTCTTCTCTCTCAGCGACAGCAGCAGCTCCCAGGGGAGAGATTCACTGCTCTGTCCTTAGCAGGGAGCTGCTGCTGTTGCTGAAGGAGAAGTGCACCTTCCTCATCCAGGCAGCTCCATGCACGGGGACCTGAGCCCCTGATTGTGCTGGGCTCATTAGGCTGCTGCAGAGTCAAGCTACTGCACAGTTTAGAGGGAACCTAGATTCAGTCGCTTTGAAAACCTGGTGATGTTTCTTTAAGTGTCTAAATATCATCTCCTCTGTAAACTTCTGATTGAAAATGTTGGCCATGGGGTACCAGTTTTTGTTTTGCTAACATTCTAGAAAACTTTATTCTAAGAGCTAAATTATGTCTTTGTAAATAAACGGGTACGTGACTCCCATTCACATCCCTGCCATGCTTATCTGACAGCAAAATATATCTTGAAACATTAAATACAATTTTTTGGATTGTCCTTTCTGCAATGATTATAAATGGTACTTACCAAACTGTAATGTGAACTTTTATTATTTGATAAACTTTTTACATTTTTCAGCACATTGCGCACATGCTGTTGGATTTTACATCCTTTTATGACTTGACATTCCTGGAAAATTACTTTCAGCTCCAAGAAAAAGCATTCCATCACTTGTACTTCACATTCATCCTAAAAATGAAAAATGCCAATGGCTTTACAATCAAAAAATTAAAGAAATAAGTGCATGTGGTATATAATTTTGCAAACCAGCAACTGATTTTGATCTACTGTGTATTTGTTTTTCCATATAAATGCTTGTAAATATCTATACCGATCATGAGAGCTTATGTGAGGCCTGGTTAAATTACATTTAAAGGTGGGTCAAAAGATAATAGGCTTGGTGAAGAATGTAAATGTCAAGATAGGATGAGAATCAATTATGATACACCTTAGGGTATAATTAAGACTGAGATGACGTTATCAATAATGCTTCACCCTTATAGCAATTTCCATCCATACATCTTAAAACAATTTTTAAAAAGGGAGTACAGGTTGGACCTCCCTGGTTCAGCACCATTGGGACCTGACCGGTACCCTATGAGGGATATTACTAGACCAGGGGTGGTCATTTCTGGATCCCCTGCCACCCGCCCCCTCCAACCCTGGGCCAACCACTGCCCACCCTGCTGTCTCCCCCTTCCTGCTGGCCCTGCTGCCCTGTCAGCCCCCTCTGCCCTACCAGGCAGCCCCGCCACTTATCAGCTCCTATGGCAGTCCTGGGCAGCCCCACTGCCTCTTCTCTCTGGGCTCCCACTGCCGCACCCAGCAGCCATGCCACCTTTGTACACACTCAACTCCTGCTGCAGCCCCCGGCAGCCCCACTGCCTTTGGACACCAGACACTCGGTGCTGCGCTGTGCAGCCCCGCTGCCTCTGTACACTGGGTTTCCACTGCAGAGCCTGCCTCTTGCTGCTGCTCTGGCAAGTCCCAATGCCTCTGCACGCCAGGTTCCCGCTGCAGAACCTGGGTCCTGCTGCCGCTCCGGGAAGCCCT